GCTTTTCTCTTTCCTTCTAGTTGTAGAATTTCCACTCAGCCAGCCTTCTTGTGGTTCTGGATGATGTCTGTTCCGTCTTTTAGTTGTATTTTTGAAGTGGTTGTGCGAGGCAGCAATCTCCGGTGTTTACCTATGCCGCCATCTTGGTTTCTCCTGTATGTCTTTCTCAAGTCATATTTTCTTGCATAGAAAGGTTATTTTATGAATTATTTGAGTATATATAGATGTTTGCATAATTTCCCTGACTTGATCACATCAGTTTCTATGATTTATTGTCATTTTTGACATAATTCAATTATAATGCCTTTACTTTAGCTGCAAAGTATTTTTATTTAATTATAAGCAATATTCTAAAGTGTTTAAAAATATTTTTTTCACTGTTTAAATTATTGTAGGTGTGAATGAAAGTTCGTTATTTCCAAAACGTCCTTGTACTTCTGAAGTAATCAATGTTAATCCAAAAAAGTCTAAGCCCAGTGAAAGTGTTTCTGGAGCAAATTCCTCAGCTGTATTTCCTTCAGCTAAGTCTCTTTCAGTGACATCTCCCCAGGCTATGTCATCAAAAGGTAAATATGAAATGTGGCATATAAAAAAGAAATATATACATACAATTTAGAAATTGTAGTAAATTTACAAACTGTTAGTGGTTATTTAAGGTTAAAAAGTGATATATCTTGAACCATATATTTTGACTTTATTTTAGGTACAAATAACTCATCAAATCAATCTAAAAATGGAACACCTTTTCCAAGAGCTTGTCCAAAGTGCAATATTCATTTCAATCTTTTGGATCCTTTGAAAAATCACATGAAGGTAAAACTTTTCAAAGTTTGATTTTGAAAAGGTTTGCAAATCCCTAAAAATGTTGATTTATAGTAATTAATGGTTCAGTTATTTAGATAAGAAATTTACTATTGATATTTCCATATAACGTAGAAATTTATATGCATAATGATTATTTTCATAGAAGATTTTAGAATTCCTTCTGAATCATTAAATTTAAAAAATTAAGTTCATATACATCATAATGTACTAGAGGCCCGGTGCACAAAAATCTTGCACTCAGGAGGGTCCCTCAGCCCAGCCTGTGCCCTCTCGCAGTCCGGGAGCCTATGGGGGATGTCCAACTGACGGGTAGTGGGCCTAAGCCATCAGTCGGACATCCCTAGCATTGCTGCGGAGACGCCAGAGGCTCCCGCCACTGTCACTGTGCTCACCAGCTGTGAGCCTGGCTTCTGGCTGAGCAGCGCTCCCCCCTGTGGGAGTGCACTGGCCTCTAGGGGGCAGCTCCTGCGTTGAGCGACTGCCCCCTGGTGGTCAGTACGCGTCACAGTGACTGGTCGTTCTGCCGTTTGGTCGATTTGCCTATTAGCCTTTGATTATGTAGAATGCTGATTGTATTCTAATTTTAAATGAAAATACATTAATCATATTATTTTATTTACTAGATTATGCCATGCTTCAAATGTTAAAAAACTGCCATTTTATTATGTTAAACATTTTGTATAACTTAACAGTTTCTTTAGTTAATTTTGTGTCCATCCATGCTAATATGTACACGTCACAATGAAAATCAGAGTTTTACATTTAGTTTTTAACAATCAAACATAAAATCCAAATGGTGGATCATTTCATATGAAATCAATGTTTTAACTCAATCCATGATATTGTTTGTGTAATTGTTACAAAGTAATTTGAGCTTATTATTGGTACAGGAAGCTCTTAAAATTAGATTTAAAAATTTTGCAAAGTACAAATGAAATAGAGATTTTGATAACACTTCACTTAAAATATTTTATTAGATATTAGAGTATTCTGCTCTGTCTGTGTAAAGGTAGCCTGTATTCTTCTTGCATTCCCAGTATAAATGTCAGGGAAAAAGAGACAGTGTGGATTATATGAAGAAAAGGAAGGAGAAGGGTGCAATGGCAAAGAAATAACTAAGAAAAAGTTCTTGTTCACTGTTTCAGAGGTTTACAAATTTTTATTGAAATTTAACATTTTACAAAAAAAGTAGAAAATAGGTAATATTTTTAGAATAGTAAATACAATATATTCATGTACAAAACTGTATTTTGACTGTCAGTACTTCCAGCTCCTAAATTGTAGTCCCTGATAACTGTACTTTGTGTGTTGTTCTTATATGAGAACTAGAGGCCCGGTGCATGAAAATCGTGCACTTGTGGGGAGGGGGTTCCCCAGCCTGGCCTGTGCCCTCTCACAGTGTGGGACCACTGCAATCGATCTCCCCAAAGAGGTAGGCGCCGCCCACCCATCCAGGGCTCCTTGATGGATTGCCCCAAAGAGGTAGGCTGGAGCCGGGTGTCCCGCCACCAGAGTCACCACGCGGAGCCGCCGGGACCTGCCTCCAGCGTCACCACGCGGAGCCTCGGGACCCCTGGCATCGTCTCCCCGCCGCGTACACACGTCAAGTCCCCACCCACCCACGTGTGCCCTCTGCGCATACAGCCTCCTGGTGATGGATTCTTAAGGCGTGAGGGCATGACTACCACATAAGCTTTTATTAGTATAGATTAACCTGTACAAGTGCTTTCAATTTTCCTATTTATGTAATGTTTTGATGAGTTACCTAATTTTTTTAATGTTTTACATTTTGTATGTAAATAAAAAAGAAAGGGTTAAATTCTTTATTTATCTTTATTTAATTACTAGATGCCCGGTGCACAAAAATTTGTGCACTCGGGGGGATCCCTCAGCCCGACCTGTGCCCTATCGCAGTCTGGGACCCCTTGGGGGATTACCACCAGCTGGCTTAGGCCTGCTCTCTGAGGGGGTTCGGGCCTAAGCTGGCAGTCAGACATCCCTCTGGCAGCCCGGGAGCCCTCGGGGGATGTCCACTTGCCAGCGGGGAGCAGGCCTAGCTGCAGTTGGACATCCTTAGCACTGCTTAGGAGGCGGGAGAGGCTCCCACCACCACCGCTGTACTGGCAGCCGGCAGCCTGGCTTGTGGCTGAGCAGAGCTCCCC